AGGTTTTTGGGGGAGTTTTTTTTTTTACACCAAAAGCAAATGCAACATAAGCAAAAATAAACAAGTGTGACTACATCAAATTAAAAATCCTCTGCACAGCGAGCAAGAAAAGGTGCTCAACTTCACTAATTATCAGGGAAATGTAAGTCAAAACCCCACTGAGACGTCACCTCACACCTGTTAGAATGGCTATCACCTAAAAGACAAAAGATAGCAAGTGTTGGAGAGGATGTGGAAGTCTTTTAGTGGGAACGTAAATTAGTGCAGCCACTAGGAAAACAGTATGGTAACGCCTCAAAAAATTGAAAATAGAACTACCATACACTCCACTTCTGGGTACATATCCAAAGGAAAAGAAATCACTACCTGGAATAGGTGGATAAATGAATAAAGAAAATGTCACACACAGAGACAGAGGAATATCATTCAGCCATTAAAAAGAATGAAAACTTGCCATTTGTGACAACAAAGGTGAACCTTGAGAGGGCATAATGTGAAGTGAAATAAGTCACATAGGGGAAGACACATACTCTGTGCTTTCACATATATGTGGGCTCTAACAAACCTGAACGCATAGAAACAGAGAGAAGGTTGGAGGTTGCCAGAGGTGGGGGCCAAGGAGTGGGGTGAATGGATCAAGGTGGTCAAAAGGAACAAACTTCCTGTTGACAATAAGTAAGTTCTGGAGATACAATGTACAGCGCGTTGACTGTATTTAACAATACTGTATTGTATATTTGAAAGTTACTAACAGAATAGATCTTAAAAGTTCTCATCATAAGATAAAAAGGTGATGGTAGTTAACTAAACTTACTGTGGTAATCATTTCACAATATATACATATATCAAATCATGATGTTGTATACCTTAAACTAATACAATATTATATGTCAACTAGAGGCTCGGTGCATGAAATTCATGCGGGGGTGGGGGGTGAGGGGGAGGTCCCTTAGCCGGGCCTGCACCCTCTCCAATCTGGGACCCTCAGGGGATGTTTGACTGCCGGTCTAGGCCTGATCTGGCAGTCGTATATCCCTCTCACAATCCGGGACTGCTGGCTCCTAACCACTGGCCTGCCAGCCTGATTGCCCCTAACCACACTGCCAGCCTGATTGCCCACAGCTGCCCTCCCCTGCTGCGACCCGCCTCCTCTCCTGGGACCCGCCTCCTCCTCTGGAACCTGCCTCCTC